GGGAGGGAGGGAGGGAGGGAGACATGGAAGCATGGAAGGAGCTCTCCTAGAGAGGAATACTTACTGCAGGATAGACATGGCCAATCTGAGCAGTCCTTCCTATATGGAGCTCATCTTCATCTTCTTCTTCTGTTGTTTTCCTGTACACTGGGTTGTCAAAATTCATGCTCTTGGTGTTCTTCCGCTTCCAGTTTCTCCAGATCAGGTAGCCACTCATGCACAACAGGACTATTACCGCTGGAGGAAGGGACATATTACGTTGGATATCCAGGAGGCTCTGGCACATTGCCAGACATCAGTGTAGATCCTGCTGCCTCTCCAACTTTATCACACCTTGCTCCTCAGGCACTGTTTCTGTATGTTCATTTCCTGCTGTTGCTTCCGCTTCCAGTTTCTCCAGATCAGGTAGCCACTCATGCACAACAGGACTATTACCGCTGGAGGAAGGGACATATTACGTTGGACATCCAGGAGGCTCTGGCACATTGCCAGACATCAGTGTAGATCCTGCTGCCTCTCCAACTTTACCACACCTTGCTCCTCAGGCACTGTTTCTGTATGTTCATTTCCTGCTGTTAGAAGTCTTTCTCATCTCTGCTTTCCTTCATGAATTACTCATCCTTTCAGATCCAGCTGAAATATGAACTCTTTTCTAACTATTCTAGGCAAACTCTGCTGCTCCCTTAGGTGTGCTCACAGGTCACACTACCTTTATATATCTGTTCTCCTAACTGGAACAAGCCTCAGAATTATGCTTATTTATCTCTCTGTACTGCCTATGACTGAGGAGGTACTCAATGATACATACTGAATGACTGAGGAATGTCTTGCCTATACCTTTGTCCCAATGCTGCTGCTGCTATTTCCCTGGAACCCTAAGAAAGCCATTCTCTCCCACAGACTGGACAGGGAAGCATGTCTTTCCAAAGTTTGGGCTCCATCAGAAGTGGAGTCTCTAAGAGGGGATCCAGAAGGGCAACACAGGCTATGAGTTGACAAACTTCAAAAGATATGGGCTTGGTCCCCATTGGACAGCACATTCTGTTTCTCGGCCAGAGAGGTCAAAGGGGTTAGCCATCCTACGACCGAAGCCTGGGGAGAAACCTATGATCAATTCCAGCTGGAGGGACAGGTTTCCTGGAACTGGTGGAGGTACAAAGAAAGAGTTAGACCAGGGTGATGGGCATGGGCAAGAGTTCAAATGGCCATGTGGGAGGCTGGTCCCAGCATAGAGGTAACCCAGGATGGCCTAGAGGAAGGGAGTTTCCAAGACTGTGCCCACCAAAATAATCAGTGATTCTTAGCATTTCAGTGGAAGCTATTTAGGATGCTGTAGAGGGGTTCCTGATTAAGTAAGAATATTACAATTAAAGACAGAAACAAGGCAATCTTAGAAAAAAATATTAGAGAAGCATTGAAAAAAACTATTTGAAATAATTTAATTCATGAAGAATTAACATAAAAAATAAATAGCTTTCTTTTTAGTCAGCAATAATCGAATCCCAGCACTCAGGAGGCTGAGGTGGTAAGATTACCATGAGTTTGAGGACAGGCTGGGCTACGTGGTGAACTCAGGCAAGTCTGGGTTACAAAGGGAGATCTTGTCTCAAAAAACCAACTACCCAAACAGCTCTCCAAATAAATAACCAATTAGGAAATGGAATAAGAATGTTCAAAATAACCCAGTAACAATTATAAAATATCCAGAAAATCTAACAGGATATATGCAAGCATATATATCTATTTCTGCTGCAGGACATAAATGAAGACTGGAATAAGGATATAATAAGGAGATGTCATGTTCCTAGATGGGAAATGTCAATACTGTAAAAAGTAAATTCCCTTTGCATAAATTTATACACTCAAAGCAAATTCAATGAAAATTCCATCATAACTTCTATAAAATCTAAAGTTTATCTAGAAGAGAAATCAGATAAAAAATTTTAGGAAATGTTTATAAGCATATCATGATATGAGAATAGACAGATAATGGGTGAGGAGAATAAACAGGTGTGTATGTATAGGCATGTAGTTTGTAATAAAGATAAGTCAGAAGGAAAGGATGGACCTTTCAATATAAGGGTTTTGGAGAATCTAGACAGATATGGTTTTAAAAAAAATTGCAAGGCAGAATTGGGTATAACAACCACAGAAGAAAAAAGTTAAATCTCCCTCACACCATACTCTAAAATAAATTCTAAATGGAAATAACCCAATACTGAAAAGAGTTTAAAGTAGAAGAAAATATTAGGAGACATATTAATCATTCAGAACAAGGTGGGCTTTCCTAAGCAAGGCAGAAAAGTCAGAACTCATCAAACAAAAGATTAACAGATTTGACACTTGAAAAAATTTAAGCTGGGCATGATGGCGCACGCCTTTAGTCGGAGGCAGAGGCAGGCGGATCTCTGAGTTCAAGGCCAGCCTGATCTACATAGGGAGTTCCAGGCCAGCTGGGGCTACAGGGAGACCCTGTCTTAAAAAAACAAACAAACAAACAAAAAAAAACATTTTTTTTTAAATTTGTGCATGGCAAGAGATGCCATGAACAAATTTTAAAATAAAGTGTTTGACTGAGAAGAAATATTTGTCACATGTATTATAGAGGATTTAATATTCATTATATAGTTCTATAAATAACCAAAAGAAAAACATGAGGCTACAAATAGGCAATTCTTAAAGGATGAAATGTAAATAAATGGCCAATAAGTTTATGAGAAGGTAGTCTCCGTCTCAGAGAAACAAGTCATTTTTCTCCTTTCAAATTAGTAGAAATTTAAAATATTGATTACATAAAAGTGGGTTATATCATCCAAAAAGCACATATAGATATCTTTCTATAAGCACAGGATGGCAGGAACAGGGTCACTCAAAATAAGCCTAGAATAGTAGTCTTACCACTATCTCTTGTGGTGAACCCTTTCAAAGCCAATTCAAATGCTGTGTTCTCTGGAACTATCACTTGCACTCTGGAATTATTTTTCCATTATCCCCTCCACAGGAATATCAAGATGCTATTATATCACACCTTTGTCCCTGCCAAGCCTCTATTATAGTACATTATATAGACTATGTAATAGCATCTACCATATGTTACTATAACTTTGATTAAAGACTAGAAGCTCTGAAGGTTTCCCCCAGGGGAGAAGTTGTTTAAAACAGCTTTAATCACTAAATCATCACTATATGGAGGATTCCCAGGACAAGCACAAAGTACCTGTCCTTGAGGTACTCACAGGCAAGTAAGGGAGATAAACCTATATGAATGGACAATTCAACTCAAAGACACTGCCAAGACATGAGGCAGGTATGAGAGACAGGATGTACGTGACAGGTGAACATCAGGGTGGAGAGAAGGAGTCAGCCCAGTGCTTCTGTGTGAATAGTAACCAGGATTGCTCTGTCACACTAAGCTCCTTTTAGTTCAGTCTCCTAACTCCCTCCATGCTATTTCCCACCCTTGGCTTTTTGCTCATTCTGCCTTCACTGCCTGGGTTGCTCTTGATTCTTCTTCACTTGGTCAACTCAGCTCAAGGATTGTTTCCAGTAGGAAACCTTGCCTGTCCTCTTTGGTTAAGTGCTTTCTTAGTACTTCCACTGAACTCAGTAGCACAGCCTACTCCTAGGACTTGCCATGTCATAATGAGCTTACCTGTGCTATATGTGTCTATTGTTAAGATTAAGACTTTTTTGGGGGGGGTCTTTTTGAGACACGGTCTCTCTGTAGCCCCAGCTGTCCTGGAACTCACTATGTAGACCAGGCTGGCCTTGAACTCACAGAGCTCCACCTGCCTAAAGGCGTGTGCCACCACGCCAGGCTTAAGACATTTTTAAAAAATTACATTTATTTATTTACTTATTTTGGAGAGCAGGGCTGTGTATATCACAGTAGGTATGTGAAGGTCAGAGACAAAATGGAGGCATTGGCTCTTTTTTCCCACATTGTGGGTCCTGGGGATTGAACTCAGATCATCAGACTTTGTGGTGAGTGCCTTTATCCACTGAGCTATCTTGCTAGACCAAGACTTAAAACTTTTCTAGGATAGGACCACATCTTATCTTTAACTATCTTCCCACCCCTTATCATAGTAGCTACTTAATGAATGTTTATTGAAAACCAAACAGCAAGACAGCAAGACAGTATGACTTATTCAAGGAATGATAATCAGTTCTCACTCATCAGTTTAGCAAATATATAATTCCCTATCATGTGCCAGCCATTGCTAGAAGGTTGGAAGAGTGGTGAACAAGAGATACCAGCTGGGTTCCCAAGGAGCATTCATTTAGTCTTTGAATGTAGGAGCTCAGAGTGTGAAGGGAGGGGAGCAGGGAGATGTACGTGGATCATCAACTGGGGTCAGGTGCTGCAGAGCACAGAGTGCCAGCAAGAAACCAAATCAAACAGGCAATATTGCCAGCACAGAACAAGGGTGCAGGTTAGTATGCTAAGTTTTTTATTTCTCGCACGCCTTTCCCAAACCCTAGGCAAAAGTCCCTCCACCAATCCCCCCACTGACTTGGGGCCACACTCACCTATGGGCACAACGATCCCAATGACAGCAGCAGTGTCTGTTGAGTCCATCTTGTTGCCTTCATTCCCATCTGCAAAACACCAACATTTACAGAATGATGCCTCATCACTGAGTTCAAGCTTGTACTCTCCTAGAGCTGCAAGAATCATTCAACTCCTTGTCTTCACTCTAAAATGATGATCCTAGCAAATTAGGGGTAGTAATTCAGTCGTATAAATGTGATCAAAATCCTGAGAGGTGAACGGGACAGAGTTATTCCTGTTTCACAGATGGGAAACCAAATTTTGATAAATACAGAGCTAGGACTTGAACTCAGGACTCATGATCATGTCTCATACTCTCCTCATCACATTATGATGGTAGGAAACTTGGGGCTGTGCATGGCAGATAAACACTTAGGTCCCTGATAGGGTTAACTGTAGTTTTCAACCAAAATCTGATATATTGTCTCCCTTGTAGACCCTTTGGTAGGCTGCCTGTCCATCTGCATTATCAGCTTGTTTTTCCTAAGTAATTAAAAGGAGATATAGTGGAGTGGAATCAAAAGCGCTATTTCTGGGTCTGACTTCTTGGGTTCAAAGTCCATCTCTATTATTAGTTACTTGTGAAAGCTTGGGCAGGTTTATATATATTAGACATTTAACATTCTTATATTTCTTTATCTTAAAATATTTTCAACCTCTTAGGAATATATAAGGATTAAATGAGATAATTTGTGTAAGATATTTAGCACAGTGTCTAGCATAACCTTGCCTATTTCAAAGAGGGTGGTGGTATACATAGGAGTTTTTATGAGGCCTAAGTTAAAAAAGGTATGTTATACTGGGCATTGTGGCACACACCTTTAGTCCTGGGAGGCAGAGGCAGGCAGATCTCTAATATCTAGGCTAGCCTGGTTTACACAGCAAGTTTTAGGGCAACTGGGGCTACAAGGAGACCTGGACTAAACAAACAAACAAACAAACAAACAAACAAATGGTGTGTATGCCTATAATCTCAGCACTTAGGAGGTAAGGCTAGAGGATCACAAGTTCAGGCTTGCCTGTGCTACATAGTGAGACCCTATCTTTAAATAAAGGATTAAAGGGGCAGGAGAGAAAGCTTAGTAGTTAACAGCACTTGCTGCTGTTTCAGAGGATCTAGATTCAGTTTCCTGTACCAACATGACAGCTTACAACTGCCTGCAACTCCAGTTCCAAGGAAACTGATATACCCTCTTCTGATCTCCTTGGGTATCAGGCACCCACATGATGCACATACATACATGTAGGCATAGCACTCAAACACATAAAATAAGAATAAAATTAAATTTAAAAAAATATTTAATTTACACTGGGAGGCAGAGGGAGGCAGATCTCTGTGAGTTCAAGGCCAGCCTGGTCTACATAGTGAGTT